AAAAATTGCCAAAAACTTGCCAAATCCGTGCAACCGTCTACCAAAGTAGCACCTCTTCAACACGATAAATTTTCTAACTGCAACCGAAGTGTTTTGTCATGTGATTGTCTGTTTGTGGCTTTTAAAAGTGAAGTGTGTGATATGTTGTTTTGATTTTCTGGGTATTTAAAAATTTAAATTTGTGATGTTGAAACCGAAAGCGCTAACTCAAGTCCTTAGCCAGGCCAATACCGGAGGCGTTTCCAGTACATTGTAATCGCGGATGATTTTGATATTATAAATCTATATAGCGAAGTATTGTAATGTATTGCAAAATGTTGTAGTATGTTATGAATTTGGAAAGAGATTTAGCTTTATGCGTTTAGAATATCACTGTAATGTTAATGCAGTTACGAAGGATGTATTGTTATTTAGCAGCAATGTGAAGTTGCTATTGAGATGAACTTTAAATCTCTTCCCATAAATTCGTAATTTTGGGGAAAGTTTTAATTATTCAAAATTTTTGTAACAGTTATTTAAAAATATAACGGTCCTAAATTTTTTATCCTAAATTAAATTTTAGTGGGAAGACTAATTTAAGGATTTTGTTTCAAATATTTATTTAATAAAATTTATAGTTATGCAAAGTTTAGTATCTTCAAATAAATGCTTATAAATGGATAATTGTATGCCGTGACAAAATAAGTCATTGTATCTAAAAATGAAATGACCATTTTATTTAAGTTTTAAATGTTTCTGTACTTTACATGTTCAGTATTAAAAGAATAAAGGTGTTAGTGGTGAACTTAATAAAGGTGTTGCTTTGTAAAAACGGCCACTAAACTTAGTCATTTAAACTGGGAACATAATTACCCAGTCTGTAGTATGAAAATTTAAAATGACATATGTTAATGTAATGATTTTTTTAGTAATGCAGTACCAACGTTTTGTATCCAAATGTCGTTGTTTAAGATACAAGCTTATCTAATTTTCTGCTTTCCATTAAATAATTTGTTAATAGATGATCTAGAACAGAGGTTCTTAACCTTATTCCCTGTCTGGGCACATCTAAAAAACAGAAAATGCTGCGGTGCATAAAAAAAAAAAAAAAAAAAAAAAAAAAAAATATTATATGATATAATATATATATATAATGTTTTGTATATTCTTTATAGAGTATGTTTGCAGTTATTCCAACACACGTGGGTGAGGTAGGCTATTCCATTACCGTCTGGCTATGGTTGACGAGCGGGATGATGAAACTGGAGACATGACGATCAGGACTTCACTTTTAACACAAGCAATCTTTAGGTAATTATAGCAGATGACTTTTTCAGATGGATTAATCAAAACTTACATAATGACTTTAGATTGACTGATTTTAACTTAATAGTCACGTTCTAAAATAAGAGGCGCATTGAGGAAGGTAGCAACGAAGGTGGAGGCTTGTGAGGAGAATTATACGCAGCATTTATGAAGTTATGTACAAGAGTTCTAGAAAATGAGAAAATTTGACGCATTATATGAGGAGGTGTAATAGGTGGAACGTTAGAAGGTATTGGTTAGGGATGATCCTGAATGCAGAAAATTAATTAAGTTGCTGCTTTGCAAAGAAAAAGCCATCGGATTTTTTAAATTTTACATCTTCCCCCCTCAAAGGAAGGCCGGGTGGAAAGCATTAGTAGTATAAAGCAAAAGTATGAGATAAGACAGAAACATCCAGACTAGCGTACAGCTTACTATGTCTATATAGTTCTGACTTTTCATATAAAAATTTGCTTATAGTATAGAGTTGAACTTAAACTATAGTTATAAATAATATACAATTATGACTAATTTAACATAAATAATAATATGTATACTGATAAAAATAAGTTATAATTAAAAAGTCCTCAACTTTGTTAAAATGCCATTTTGTTTTTTGAAAGTCCTTTATAAAGAGTTCGAAAAATGAAAATATCTGGTAAATCTCTAAATGCAGATAGTCCACACTATGATGCAGTTATGTTCAAAATATGAGCTTTTTTTTTGCGCTGAAATTTTTTAATATAAGCTTTGATCAAATATGTTAATTTTCTTCTTCAATAAACTTAGAAAAGAAATGGATATACAATTTATAATATATATTGGCATTTTTCCTCTAATTGTAGGCAATTAAATTGACATATCATATTTACAAAAAAAAGAATAAAAATTACATTAAATACCTAGAACATGAACACTTTGACTTTAAAACATGGCATCCCGCCAACAATCAGCGTGATTACTTGCTGATGGTTGGGAGGTGCTAGGTCAAATATCAAAATTCCTTCCAAAAAATGGTTTTGGATTGTACATTACTCTCAAGGGTTTAGAAAAATAAAAATCAAAAATCAAATATAGACGATATTGTATAATAATTTAGTTTTTCTGTTTGTAATTCAAATAAAGATATCCTACAATAAGAAGAAATTTTGTACAAAATAATTCAAATTATGACAAATATAAAGTCAATCGGGAGAATATTGTCATAGTCGGGAAATAACGGTCATTTAGGGTTTAATTAAATCAGTTATTAAAGTCGTAATCAGGAATTTAGTAGAGAATTGAAAAAATTTTTTTTTGACAGAATAGAATTCTTTTTTCTGAAGTTAACTTAAACTCACTTGTGATAAAAGGCTTAATCTAGTGAATGAACAATTCTGATTCTTTTTAGTAAGGATGGTTTATCATTCATAATATCAGATATGTTTCAAAAATTTATAAGGTCCTGAGAAGAAGGATTATTTAGTGTATTAGGGTGAAATTCTTCATACATACTAATATTAATTTAAAATTACTAGTTAAGAATATCAATCTTTCTTATAATTATGATATCAGCAGATCTCTTGAGTATTTTCTAGGTCTTTATGCGGATACATTCTTTTTTGATAAGGAATCATAAGGTGATTTTCATACTTAATATGATGGAGGGATTGTACGATGAGGTATCTTATACTTTCAGTACTAGGGGTAATTTTGTCCATGCATATTACCTTGAAGAATTTAGTTACATTTTAATTAGTATAATAGTTTGATTAAACGTTCAATTTTACCATAGTTTTGGGGTCTATTTGCTAGTTAGCATTGTTTACATATGATTCTTAAAAGCTAAAGTTGAAGATGTAAAAGCAGCTTCCTATCACTTAAAAAATCTTTTTAGGACCGAATTTGAATTTGTTTAAAGCAGTTTTATAAGATCTGTAGTACACTTTTGGAAGCAAGCCAGAATATCTAGCTGCAGATCAATAATAGTGATATATTTTATTAGAATATAATATTTAAACACTACAGTATATAATAATATTTCAAAAGGTTCACTAACTGATGGTAAATTTGCATTAAACAAACTCTTTGTTTACTTTCTTATAACTGACTACTCACATGTTACATAATTTCACATCGTGAACAATTCTGGCAATATATTGTGGGAATAAATTTAGCAAGATGTAGGCAATAGACCAATTGTATGGGCCTTTCAGTATCGCACTAAGACATGGCTATCACTTTGTACACCCTGTTTTTTTTGTAGTTAAGACATCATTCATGTTCTCTACTAGTATTACAACCATATTAATTTTAGTTCTTTTATTTTTTATGATAATCATTAACTTGCATCTTAAATTGACGCTAGGATTTCTAGAGAGCATGTCAGCTTCAATGAGTAATCTTTTTATTTTATATCAAATCATACAAGATAATTTTAAAGACCACATACATAGACACTTTAGGTGTTTTATATTTTAAGCCAAAAAGCAGCTGATCAGTATGTAAAGTAAATGTTTACCATGTAATAATAAAAATTATCAATTGCATCAATAATAGATAAACATTCAGCTCAGTATGCATTTTTGTCATAAGATCTAATTTTTAGAACGAAACATGGGATGTAAACTACTATCATATGTCTTGTTTAAAAGCACCAACTTTTTGGATGCATCCACAAATCATGAAGGGATTTAGGATTTATAAAGTTAAAATAGGTCTAGAAATCAATGCATCTTTAATTTTGAAAGTTTTTGACATCATCGTCAATTATAGGGTATCTTTCGAGTAATAGTTAATGGGGTTAATTTCTAGCAAATTTGAATAATTTATGATAAACATTAATATTCCTAAAATCTTTGTAATTCTTTGATACTTTTAGGGGGTGCAATTTCTTAATAACTCTATATTTCATTCTGGCTGGTATTTACTCTTGAATTTATATCCTAGAAATTTATTTTTTCTTTAGCAAAATTACATTAGTTGTTTTAATTTAATTCTCTTTCTTACTAATCAAAATTATTTTAGATGATTAATGTTCACCAAATTGGAGAGAATATATAAGATCATCAAATTTTAAAGCAAATTGAAACGATATGTTTAAATTTTTAAGAGCTCTTGGAAAACAGCTTTTCCAACCAAAGGTATCGAGTAATCTACAGTCAAAATTGTAGAATGCAATTTTTTATCCTTCATTAATTTTATAGCCAATACCGATGCCAAATGCAAGTAGAAAGATTTTTGCATTAATTGATTAATACGCATCATTCTAGGAATAGGTTCAGATCGTTTAGTAATTGGTAAGTCTGAAATCAATACACAATCTGCTCTGACTGCTCATCTCGCTTATAAGCTAAGTTCAGGAGCAGCATCGAACTATAGAAGGTTAAATTCCAGCCTAACATCATCTATGTTTTTAATTTCACTATTATCTTAGAGAGTGTCTTGGCTATCGGTAATTAGAAGTGAATAAATCTGGGAGTTCACCTTATACACCAACATCATATTACTTTTTGCATATATATTTAATCATTCAACAGTTCGTATTACTATAGAATTTTACTATTTTCAAAAAATTACCACTATTTTAGATTAGATCATTTACATACAAAATTCGCCATCAAAAGTTACAGATGTCAGCTGATATCCTTTACATATATTATTTGAAAACTCTGTACTAACCTTTTACTCTGTTTTCCAAGTTATCCATTCTCATTAGGCAATCATTGTATTAAATAATGAAACATGGTGATGAAAGCTCATCTTGCCATTGAATCTACTACATAAACATCACATTATTGTCTATTTACCTACTTTCACTTACTTTGATATTTTCTCTTATGACTTGACAGATTTGAATATTTTATCAAGGCTTTCCTGCCATTTCTCAATTTAGCACCATTTGTTAAATTTTTAACGGTAAAACGTTAATTTCGATCCCGATCATAATACTGGGAATTTTTCGTCCATTTGGACTCCTTCAGTAATAT